GTGAGTTACAAATATCCTTTGTCATTTGTGTGACTTTGCTTGTGGTATTCTAACCCACACAAAAATTGTTTTTAATTTTAATTCATAGGAGCAAAATTTTGACTGAAGTTTTTTTTTAATGTAGTTGAAATTTCAATCTTTTATTTTCTACCTTTTGAATTTTGTGTCCTATTTAGGAGGACTTTTTCTACACCAGCATCATTAGAAAACAAAAGCATTCAACCATGATTGGTTTTGGTATTTTTATGATTTAATTTTTACATTTTCAGTTTTTATCTGAATGAAATTATCATGGAATGTGAGGTATAAATATAAGTTAATTTTTCCTGGATGGCATCTAATTTTTTCCACACCGCTTACCCAATAATCCTTTTTTTCCCCTTTCTATTTGAAATAACTACCTTTATCAGTTATCAAGTGCCTCTCTGTGCTTGGGACTACTTCTGTTCCATTGATATGTCTTTTCATATGCTAGTAGCACACAGTTTTATCATTGTACCTTTATACTGTGCTTTATTATCTGATACAAAAAATGCCTGGGAAGGTCTGTTACTCTTCTTTTTGGGATTTTCCTAGCTATTTGTTTTTCCAATGCATTTTCTCATAGCTTCTCTAGTTTCCCCCCAAATTTAAGTTATATAATTTAAATATATTTAAAATAATATTCAATATGTAAAGGAATTTAGAGTAAACTGACATCTTTATGATATTGAGTTTTCCTAGTCACGACTTGGATGTGCCTTGCCACCTGTTCAAATCTTTTGTGCACCTCAGGAGACTTTTTTTTTTAATTTTTTTTTTAATTTTTAAAAAATTTTTCTTTTAACGTTTTATTTATTTTTGAGACAGAGAGAGACAGAGCATGAACGGGGGAGGGGCAGAGAGAGAGAGGGAGACACAGAATCGGAAGCAGGCTCCAGGCTCTGAGGCATCGGCCCAGAGCCCGACGCGGGGCTCAAACTCACGGACCGCGAGATCGTGACGTGAGCTGAAGTCAGACGCTTAACTGACTGAGCCACCCAGGCGCCCTCTCAGGAGACTTTTAAAAAGGTGTTCTTGGGGCACCTGGGTGGCTCAGTCGGTTAAATGTCTGACTTTGGCTCAGGTCACGATCTCACAGTTGGTGAGTTCAAGCCCCTCATCAGGCTCTGTGCTGACAGCAAGAAGCCTGCTTTGGATCCTCTGTCTCCCTCTCTCTTTGCCCCTCCTCTGCTTGTTCGTGTTCTCTTGCTCGCTCGCTCGCAAAAATAAATAAGCATTTTTTAAAATGGGGCACATATTGTAAATCCCTTTAAAAATATATAAAGGTGTTTCTTTATGTAAATTTTCACATTTCATTTTAAGCTGAAACACTTTTTTTATTATTATTATCATTGAGGGCCTTACAAACTAGTAATTCAGGAAATGAACCTCCTATACCTTCAGTGGTTTCTTTTGCTTTTAGGATTAAATCTAAACTTCTTGGCCTTTCTTTCAAGGCTTTCCATATTCGGTTTTAAAACCTATTTTCCACACATTTTCTTCTTTTTTTTAATGTTTATTTTTGAGAGAGAGAGAGCAGATGAGCATGAGCAGGAGAGAGGCAGGAGGGTGGGGAGCGGGGAGACAGAGGACCTGAAAGCGGGCTCTGTGCTGATAGCAGAGAGCCCAACACAGGGCTTGAACTCAGGAACCGTGAGCTCATGACCTGAGCCAAAGTTAGACACTTAACCAACTGAACCACCCAGGCACCCTTCACACATTTTCTTCTCACCTGTAGCTACTCAGCAGCCCCTGAACAAGCTCCATCCTTCCATGTCTCTCTGGGAATATCTCTCTTCCTCCTCTCTTCCTGGCTACCCTCCTCCTCTACGTGTCCAGAGAGGTTTTCTTTATGAGAAACCCCCTTGCCTACTCCAGTTAGAAATGACTTCTCTCCCCTTTGGCCCATGACCATTTACTGTATGTGCCATTTATCTGGTAACTAATCCAGTGTCACCTTGTGACAGCTTTTATATGTTCATTTTAAAATGAACTGTCCTGGGGCGCCTGGGTGGCGCAGTCGGTTAAGCGTCCGACTTCAGCCAGGTCACGATCTCGCGGTCCGTGAGTTCGAGCCCCGCGTCAGGCTCTGGGCTGATGGCTCAGAGCCTGGAGCCTGTTTCCGATTCTGTGTCTCCCTCTGTCTCTCTGCCCCTCCCCCGTTCATGCTCTGTCTCTCTCTGTCCCAAAAATAAATAAACGTTGAAAAAAAAAAATTTTTTTAAAAAAATAATAAAATAAAATAAAATAAAATGAACTGTCCTTAGGTGCCTGGGCGGCTCAGTCAGTTAAGCGTCCAACTTGGCTCAGGTCATGATCTCACAGTTTGTGAGTTCAAGCTCTACGTTGGGCTTTGTGCTGACAGCTTGGAGCCTGGAGCCTGCTTCGGATTCTGTGTCTCCCTCTCTGTTCCTCCCCCACTGGCTCTCTGTCTCTTTCTTTTTAACTAAAAAAATAGTAGTAGTAGTGACGATAAGAGTGATGGTAACATTTAGGCTAGCTTTCTGTGTGCCAGGTACTATAAACTCACTTATTAGTGGACAAATATTTGAGCCCGTGTTTTGTGGGTCTGTTTGACCTCAAACCAAACCTTGGAAAGGGAATGTAAATGAAAGATCACCCAGTCACAGTATCCAGACATTTGTTCTAGCCAGCTGGTCAGAGAAGGTGAGTTTTCTAGGAGAAGCCCTGACATGTAGGAAGGACTGAAGATGGTCCCATCCTGGGAGGGAAAGGGAGAGGAAGAACAAACAGGAATGGAGGGCCCTGCCCTTGAGGGCAGCAAAGGCACAAGGGTTTTCTGAGGCTCTGGTGGCTTTGAGTCAGACCATGCTGGTAGACTTGTTCCCTTTCCTGCACTGGAAGGGTTAGGGATCTGGAAATGAGGTCTGGCCCCTAGCCAGCCCTTGCTGAGGACTCCTTTCCACAGAGGGTCCATGCAAGATGGCCCAGGCCCCCTGGGGACAGCAGGCCCAATACATGGCCACTGCCCCAGCCTGTCCACACCACCCGGGTTCCCAGCCCAGCTGGCCCTGGGCCACCCGCCTCTCCTGTACTTGGAAGGCTCCTGATGGGCACCTGGGGCATGCTGGGAGTAAATTTGCTGAGCATGCCGACGTGGAGCAGCCAGAGCAAAACAGCTAATGGAAATTAATCCCCACTCCTGGGTTTTCTCTCCTTATGATCATCATTAGCCTCTCAGAATCCTTCCCATGTCTCAGCACTGCAGAGTGTTTCAGGGTGCTGGTGATTCTGGGCAATTTCACCCCAGTCTTCAAGTAAAAAGCAGCCAACAAGCTGCCTGCCTGAGCTCTAAACCTGTGGCTCCAACATTTTGGGGTCTACGAGGCTTCATTTGTGTGTTGAAAACTGGGGAGACCTAAGGGTAATTTATGATATATCTGTTCCAATATATGTGCCAGCCCAGCAGCCGAGAATTAAATCCCATGTCCCCAGCTAAAAGCACTTCCTCACCCTTCGCCAACCACAAATAAATGGGTCTCGTTACCCGTGTGATGAAATTTTGGGATTCTTAAAAACAGGAAAAGGAGAAATGAAGAAAGGACTTAAGTTTTTTGACACACTTCTCTCTAAGGGGGCTAAAAATTTTAGCCCTTGCTCAAAGCTCCATCAGTTAGAAGAGCTAGCCCCTTAAAGAACAGCTCTGGTTTAGGGGCACCTGGGTGGCTTAGTTGGTTAAGCATCTGACTTCGGCTCAGGTCATGATCTCATGGGTTCGTGGGTCCAAGCCCTGTATCAGGCTCTGCTGATAGTTCAGAGCCTGGAGCCTGCTTCGGATTCTATGTCTCCTCCTCTCTCTGCCCCAACCTTGCTCGTGCTTTCTCTCTTTCTGTCTCTCAAAAGTGAAGAAACATTAAAAAGTTAAAAACAGAACAGTTCTGGTTTCTAGGGAAGGCATCACGGGGTCATGGCGGGTTCTGTTGAGCCCAAACATGCCCCAGAATAAATGCAATTGCTTCTTGTCCAATATATCTTTGAAACTTTAGTTACATTTTACTGAACAGTCCTTGAAATCAGGAAAGTGGTTTAACTTGCCAGCAAAAGAGTAAGGAGGGTTTTTTTCACCTGAAACTTTGCCCAGTGGCCTGGTATGAATGGATGCCATTTTAATTTTTTATTTATCTGAGACTCATAGAATCAGTAGTAGTATTTTTCTTCTTCATGGAAGTCTTATTTAGATGGCTGCCATTGAATTCTTCATATAGGACTCCAGAGCCCATCTTATTTATAGCAGAGTATGTCTGTTTCAAGGAAGGGGCTGCCTTTCCTGTCCTTGATTCCCCATCTCCCCCAGAGCCTGGCACCTAGTGGTTGTGCAGTAAACATTGGCTGGATGAATGAATAAGTGAATAATGTGTCTGAGTTCCTCACACTAAAATAGCAGTGCAATAGGAAGGAATTTGATGCTGTGAGCCTCCAGAACCGCCAAAATTATACCCTTGAGGCCGTGCTGGCGGGGCTTCTCTTTTTGTTGTTGTTAAATCAGGTATTTAATAATTTAAAAGGCCAACCTTTCCACGGTTTGGGCTCAGCAGAGCGGACATTGAGCCTGCCCCCAGGGGCTGACATCTCTCCTGGCTAGGCTGCTCTGAGTTGCCTTGGCTGTGCCCAACCCCCACGTACCCTCCCTAGGCTTCCTCTGCAACTGTCAGACCAGCCAACTCCTGCACCGAAACGCCCTAAGCCTGTGGTCACAAACTGTTCACTAGGGACAACAACAAGGGTACACCCTCCTTCCCTCTTCTCCCCCTTTCTCTTTTCTTCCACTCTTCTGTCTTCCGCTCCTCCCCCCATTCTTTGTGCTATCCCAGCTTCTCTCTCTCCAGCATCTTGTTCAAGGCTCCCAGCCATAACTGTGCAGGTTACCAGAATCTGGTTTACAGAGGTGCCAAGAGGTACCTCTCCTGAACTGGTGCAGCGAGAAGCCTGGTTAGGGCTGATGCTGATTTCGAGTAGGGATGTCTGTCAGCTTCTCAGGTCTGAAGAGGGAGAACCTCTGCCTGGTATGCTGGGGGTGAGAGAGGCAGCATAATGCAATGGACGGCCCCCAACCCAAACCTCCTGTATGCCTAAACTTGTGCGGATCATACATTCCAACTTGCCTTGTTCACCATTCTTCTCTGCCTACCAGGAGCTTCTTCAGGGCAGGCAGTTGGTTTTGCTTTTATGTATTATCAGGCCTAGCATGAGCCTCCACCAACGGGAGCTGAGTAAATGTGCACTCAATACAGTACAGCTCTGGAATACCTACCTTGTAGTGGGCGCTAGGCCTTCGGGATATAGAAGTGAACCAGATAGACAGACTTTGCTTGCAGGAGAGACAGGCTTTCAACTCCTATGAATGTGAAGCAAGACCTAAATGAGAAATGTATATGCAGGGGGTGGGGCACACAAGGGGAGGCCTAAGCCCGGCAAGGGGTTGGCAAAAGCTTTCTGGACAAATAGGAGTTAGGTGGAGGGGGTGGGGTGGAGTGGAAGGGCCAGAGAGACCATTCTAGGCAGGGAATGTTTGTTGGATGGGTAGACGGGTGAACCTGGCGTTGAAATCTGAGTTTACTGGTACAAAGGGACAGAGCATTCTGCCAGGCACAGGAAAACAGGTGGCTGAATTAGGCATGCCTAGCCACTGGGCATAGAATGTGGTAGTAGAAGTAATCTCTTCATTGCCCCAGTCCATGGACCCATGTTGCCCAAAGGCTACACTCTGACCGCCAATGTTCCTAGGAAAGGGATGAAATAGGTACCTCAGCCTCCTCTACCAGGGATCAGGGGACCCTGGGATTAAGAAATCCCCTCAGCCCTATGTCACATTGCACACTGACACTGTCACCCCGGGCACCTCACCCAAGGCTCTTCTCCCCACTCAGATGAGCGGGAAGTGGTTCAGAAGAAGACCTTCACAAAATGGGTGAACTCAAACCTGGCTCGTGTGCCCTGTCGCATCACTGACCTCTACAAGGATCTGCGGGATGGACGGATGCTCATCAAGCTCCTGGAGGTGCTCTCTGGAGAGATGCTGGTAAAGCCCCTTTCTGTGTCGTGGCCTCTTTCGCTGCACCGTGTGGTTGTGCCGTGTCCCCTCTTCAGGAAAGACATGGTCTGTGGGTATCTCCAATTCTCATGGCCTTCCAAGGTTTCTCCTTATTCTTTTGGGAGGTTTCATTGCTTACTGATGTGAGATGTCCATGTGGCTTCCTGAGTTCTCTGACCTCTACTCAGAATTCATTGCCTAATGGCCACTCCTGCCTCTTCATGCTTCTCCCAGAAGCCATGCAGAGCTCTTGACTTTGTCCACATGGGGCCTGGGCATCTGTCGCTGGCCTGCAGTGGACCTACCATCTGTTGCCTCATGCAGGCTAAGATGGGTTATTACCCAGTTGGAGAAATTTGCATCCTTCTTGGAACCCAGAGGAAAGCATGGAAGATATTTTCCTGTGTGTTCTGTCACTCTTACAAGTGGAAATTTATTACATGTCCTCTCAGTTGTAACCCACCTGGCAGTAATGTTGTCTCTGAGGGAGAACCAGATGAAGGTTTGTGTTTTGTTCAGTGACTTCCATTATGACCTGGGGCCTATTAGTCAGGATCTTCTTTGCCTTGTTTCCCCCATGGATAAAATGATACCTGTGCCTGATGAAGCACTAAGATCCTTGGGGTTTGAATGAAAAGGTACCACATTCTTCTGTTGCCTTTTCAACTCCAGGCTGCTGCCTTTTACACTGTATTGAAAGCCCACTAGAAAGAGTTACCACTGGGAACCCTTCACATGATGTGGCTACTCCTCAGGGGTGGTCCCCTTAAGTTTTGGCTAGGGCTATTCAGGGATGGAGGAGGAGGCTGGATGCTGGAATAGACCCTGTTATATCAATCACCAAACAGAAAGCCACTCTTATCACCAACCAACAGTAAATAGTTCTTATAAATGTGCCTGGCACATAGTAAGTGCTCAATTAACTATCTGTTGTATTACTGCTCTTGAATGTCATTTATTACATACTCAGAAGGCTTTGTTCAGACCCTGGAACTGTACCGACACAGCCCAATTGCAGAGCTCTGGATGCTCAAGGAAGGGGGAGCCTCTGAACTTTGCTGAAAGGATGGGGTTGAAAAGTGGCAAGCAGTGAGCATGAGGGTTGGAGTTTGGCCAGGAGGGTGGAGGGTGGATGCTGATGGCAGGAACTGGTCTAGGCTGCAACCACCTCTAGGGGTGACCGTGAGGTCCCTCCGTGCCCATGGGGCCAATGCTGTCCTTCAGCCAAAGCCCACGAAGGGGAAGATGCGCATCCACTGCCTGGAGAATGTGGACAAAGCCCTGCAGTTCCTCAAGGAGCAGCGTGTGCACCTGGAAAACATGGGCTCCCATGACATCGTGGATGGCAACCACCGCCTGGTCCTGGGCCTCATCTGGACCATCATCCTTCGCTTCCAGGTGGGTGCCAAGGGGGCAGAGGGAGTGGAGGGAGCCTTAAGGGGCCAGATGGGGTTTAGGAATCTTATAAAATGGTGAATGAAGTACGAGTATGCACATTCTGGGAGGCTAGAAACCTGTCTTGTGGGACAACGTTTATAGGAAGAAGGGACCGTCCTCTACATTGCCTGGTCACTGAAGCTCAAGGTGAGCTGTTCAGTCAACAGTGTAGTCTTTTGAGGGAGAAGATGGAAACTAGTAGCTGGGCAGAGATCTGACCACAAGATCTGCTTTTGTCCCCTTCCCCCCACATGTGTAACTTTTTTGGTTTTTCTTAAATAGTTTGATTCACAAGTTGCAAAAACAATACAGAAGATCTATTTTATGTTTTTCAATCAGAAACTTTTCTCTTCCCACCCTGAAATTCAAGGTTATCTGTAAGGAAGTTGAGAAAGTACAAGGGAAGGAAAGCAGGGCCTTCCACATGCTGGCTTGGGGACAGAAAGAATCTAGTCCTGAGGCAGGGAAGGCAGGGAGGAAGAAGACAGCACACAATTCCCAGACTGAAGAGCTCATCCAAGGGGTCTTGGATATCCCACTTCACTCTCTGTCGGTGCTTATAGTTAAGCAGTAATAATGGCAGAATTGGGGAGAATGAAAGGTAAGAGGAGCTACTAATCAAACATACAGTCCCTTTCAATATTCACGTTGTTCCTTGTAGGGCACTGTTACTCAGAGGAGGATTTGGGGTATCTTCTTTATTCTCAGTACCCCATTAGTCAGGTTACAGCTGTCTCCTCCAACATGAGGAAGCCATCCCTGTCCTGTGCAGCTGACTAAGGCAGAGAAACGGGCCACTGGGATGCAGGGCCTTAAGCTGTGGTGTTGCTGCAGGGCTGACAATGCAGATGGGTGGCTAAGAAGGAAGAAAGAGGGAGGGAGAGAAGGAAGGCACAGAGCCAGATGCAAATCTAATTCCTCCCTCTCTTGTTCCTGCACCCCTAGATTCAGGACATTGTTGTCCAAACAATGGAAGGTCGTGAGACACGCTCAGCCAAGGATGCATTGCTATTATGGTGTCAGATGAAGACAGCAGGGTATGCCCTGGGAATCAGTTCATTACTACATTCCCCACCACGCCCTTACTTCCCCCAAGTGCTGCCATACCCAGGGAACATCACCCAGAACTGTAGCAGCATTGGGGTAACTGACGCAAAATTTATCCTGACCTGATTCTTAGAGGCCTGAAATTCAGCATTCCTTTCCAGAGTTGCCTGGGCCGGACCCTGTCTGGGGTCTGTTGGGTGTGTGAGTCTCTTGGGCCCCCCTTATGGAGGAGCCTCTTCTTGTGACTTAACTGCTGTCTGTTGTTGAAGGGGCTCAAGAAGGGATGGATACATTTCTCTCTTGTGTATTAGTTTCTCGGTGTAGACACTTTTTGAGACCCCCCAAAGAATCAATTTCTTAGGTCTTATTGTTTCTTTTGGATGCAGCTACCCCCAGGTCAATGTGACCAACTTCACCTCCAGCTGGAAGGATGGCCTGGCCTTTAATGCTCTGATACACAAACACCGGTAAGGGGGAAGAGAGGGCTGTGGAAATGACACCAAACACCTGGGCTGTTTGGATACATTTTACTCAACGTGTAGGTTCCTGTTCAAGCTTCCCTGGAATGTTCTCTCCACTGGGCCTTCTCTCACCCTCAGTATCCCTGCCTCCCTGAAATTCAGTCATGCCCACTGCCCCCTCCCCTTGTACTAGTGTTCACAGCTGGCCCCCTCCTGCTCCTGTCTCCTTTGACTTCTGCCCAGCATCCTTGCTTTGTGTTGGGGCAGCTCTCTTGGTGGGGGATGCCATGGCCACTTCCCTTTTAACAGCCTGGCCTTGTCCCCAGGCCTGACCTGATCGACTTTGATAAGCTGAAGGACTCCAATGCACGACACAACCTTGAGCATGCGTTTGATGTGGCTGAGCGTCAGCTGGGCATCATCCCGCTCCTCGACCCTGAAGGTGAGCTACACCTGCTCCAGTCCTCTGCTGCAGTGATGGGCAGTGATGAGAGCCAGTGCTCAGGCTGGAGGGAGCCCCAAACTGGCAGGGCACCTGGAGGAGTCTAGGCCTGGTGCTGGGCCAGGCGTGGACACAGCGAGGGGACAGTGGCTGGGCCAGGGCTCTGCTTCGGGCCTGCTCTTCAGATCCAAGGTGGTTCCCCACATTTGCCTGGCCCAACTGGGGGCCCACTTGTAGTCTTTGGATCCTTCTTTTTACTTCTTTCATCATCTGTGGTCCTAATATGGATTTGATCCTCTCGCTAAAATTGCAAACACTTATTCTTTCATTCTCACCCCTCTGTCACTTGGGTCCTGTAGTTGAATTTTATGCTATAGGAACAGGGAGATAAGCCCTCTGATCCTGACATTTCCAGCTTCCATTTGGGTTCTGAGAGCACACCCTTTCCTCTTGCAGATGTCTTCACAGAAAACCCTGATGAAAAATCCATTATTACCTATGTGGTGGCATTTTACCACTATTTCTCCAAGATGAAGGTGCTGGCAGTGGAGGGCAAGCGTGTCGGCAAGGTACAAAGCCGTTTCATAACCAGAGTGTACCCCGTTTCCCTGTTTGTCACACCGAGATGCTTCTTTTCTACTCTAAGACCTTTGTGTATAGGCCCTGGCTGCAGTGGGGGGGTTATAGATCACTCCCCACCAACTTCCTCTGAAGCCAAACATTGCCAAGTTAATGGCTCCCAAGCTGAATTCCAAAGCAATTTGATGGTCTGTCCTGAAAGATGTCCTAGCCTGCAGCTCTGAGCCCATCTTCCACCGGCACACCCAAATCTCGTGAACATTTCCATAGGAACACGATGGGCTTTTATTTATTAGTTTATTGTGGTTCTGGGCCTCTTAGCTCCTGTGGTATATCAGGATCCCATCACACTGTATGGACCCTCATGCCAGATTCCTTTCCCCTGCTGGTCCACAGCTCCCCAAGGGCAGAGACCATTTCTCATTCTTCTTGTGTGTCTGGCATTTAGCGAAGACAGTGCCTCTAGAAACCCTGGATTCCTAATAATGAATTTTAAAATAAACGAGACCTTGGTCTTTCTAGTAGCTGCTGTCCTGGCACAGCAAGCTTTACTAGTGTTTTACAGGGTCAGGGGTAGGGTGGAGCTGCCCCTGAGCCCTAGCATAGCTAGCTTCCTACTAATGTTTCCAGTCTACTTTCAGTCCATTCCTCCTGCCTTAGCAGTGCTGTTGGGCTTAGGGAACAAACCCAACGTGGAACATTCCAGTTTTGGAGAGGAGGACCACCTTCATTGTGGTCCCCATTGGTGGCCTCATTGATGTCATTGTTCTTCTGATAAGGATAAGTAATAAAGTGGTTCCCTAGGTAATTGACCATGCCATTGAGACTGAGAAGATGATTGAAAAGTACAGTGGGCTGGCCTCTGACCTGCTCACCTGGATTGAGCAGACCATCACTGTCCTGAACAGCCGCAAGTTTGCCAACTCTCTGACAGGCGTCCAGCAACAACTCCAGGCCTTCAGCACCTACCGCACCGTGGAGAAGCCACCCAAGTAAGGGCCTTGGCACTTGGAGGGTGGGCATCAGTGCTAAGAAACTTCCAAGGTAGAGCCAGTCTCTGAGCCTTGAGAAGTGTATCCAGGAGGTATATCCTAGAAACTAGAGAGCTTCACATCTGTCATCTACTTCATCCCCACCCTGCCTCCCTGCTCCCAAGCCATCAGCCTGTAGGAAATGGGCACTGATGAGTAACCCTTAACTCATAGCCAAAGAAAGTACTTTCCCAGATCCCTGAAGGGGAGCAGGAGTGAAATCTCAGACTTCTGAGTCTCTTCAAAGAACCTGTGCTGGAATGTTCCTCTCCTCTGTGCACTGAGCCATGCTTTTGCTATCTGGTAATGACCTCTATATTCTCAGCCCCAGAGCTCTCTGTGTGGGGTCCTGTTGGTGGTCAGGTACATCCTGTTTCTCATCTGTCACTGCTCATCAACACAGCATTTAGCCTGCCTCTTGAGACCCCTGCTTCACCCCAGTGTGTGCAGGGCCTGTGCACATGTGTGCATACATAGGCACAAACAGAACCATACATTCACATACAGACACACCCATAAAAACATGCATGCAGGTACGCACAGACACGGGGGCATTCCATCTCACCTGCTGTTAGCTGGTCCAGCTCTTCTGAAGCAGATTTCTAGCTCACCAGTGGTGCCCTCTGCCTCGTTCCTCCCCCTCACCTCCCACACTCTTCATTCATGACTCTCAAACAGAGAAAGATGAGACATGGAGTCTAGAATGTACTGTAAACAAGCGTCTGGTTTCTGGCCTGACACTAACCCACTTTTAAAGTCCTAAATCCAGTACAGATAACATCCCCTGTGCATCTACCAGGCAGTGCACCACAGGGGTGCTGTCTCTTGGCTGAGCAGATGGTGCTCTGGGCTATAGCCCTCTTGAAGTGACTGAGTGGTCAGCTCTGTCAGGCTTGCCTCAGGGTAGGGACCTTGTTTATAGCCAGTCTTCGACTGCTACGTGGAGGATGCAGAAGTAGGGAGATACTTGTGTACATACGGAAATGTAAAAGTACCCAGTTACCTTGAGCTTAGACCTTCGGTTCCAGACATTCGCCCCGCTGTCAGTTCTTATCTCCTATACCTATTACCACCCCGGAGCCCAGTCTTTCCTCCCCACTCAGATGCATCTGGCCTTTAGGACTTGTCCAGAGGGCTGGTTCATTAGTACTCAAGTGAAACTTGCTCTCAGTACAATATGTTCTTACATGGATAATGAGGCTTCTAAGGTTTATTTGGCTCACTCAGTAAAAAGCTGACTAAAGAGCTAGTCAGAAGCCTTCATCATTTCAGAACAGGGAAGAGTTTTTTTGTGTCAATTGGTAAAGCTTGGTATCTGCAGGAATTATTGGAATACTCCAGTTAGCCATTCCCCTGTAGAAGCAAATGATAAGCAAACACTGTAGTGGCTGTTGTGTTTTTTCTGGTTTGTGTTATAAAGACTCAATCCCGAGCAGATCACAGTTGGTGAGTATGATAGATTTCTTAACAGGTAAGTAAACCTACACAGCCTCTTTACTTTTTGTTTTTAAGGAAAACATGCTTTGCTATCCCAGCTCCAAGATGCCAGTGTTCCATTTTGCCTTCAGCAAAAAATATGGGGACCTCGACACTAATTTCCCTACCTCTGTTTTCTCAACAGGTTTCAGGAGAAGGGTAATCTGGAAGTCCTACTGTTTACCATCCAGTCCCGGATGAGAGCCAACAATCAGAAAGTGTATACACCTCACGATGGGAAACTAGTGTCTGACATCAACCGGGTATATGGCAGTGTTTTCTTTACATATTGCCAGTGGGTTGACTGAGTGTCTGATAAGGGCACAGGGAATGGTTACTGGGCAGGATTAAACCAAGCCACCTTCTGTAGTGTTATTAACTGCACATGCTGGCTGTTTGGGAATGCTCTCTGAACCTCGTTCTGAGAGGTCCGACTCCACTCACTGTCCATTAATTCAGCCCCCTGTTCAGATGCCCAGAGTCCATTCTGGGAGCCAGTTTTATAGCTTAGTTTCTCTGACTATGGGATGAATATGAACTAATTAGAAGGGAAATGCTTTCTGGTACTTCAGAGGTTTGGAGGCTTAGCATCACTTGGACGTCCTAACAGAATGAAAGTAGCCATTTAGTCAGTGAGGATTTACTGAGCACCCACAGAGGCGAGTAACATTATATTAGGCCAAGAGTCTAAGGCAGGTTTAGTGGAGGAAGGAACTGGGAGGTCAGGACCAGTGCTCCCCAAGTCTTTGGTAGCCAAAAGATGGACTGAACTTTAATCTAGGCTCTGCTTAGATTCCTGAAATCACTCCGTGTCGGGTGAAAGAGACAGAACCCTCAAACCTAGGTGTTCCCCTATGCCCCAAGAGTTCTCCTGTGTCCCTCACACAGGCCTGGGAAAGCCTGGAGGAAGCTGAGTATCGGCGGGAGCTGGCCCTGAGGGAGGAGCTCATTCGGCAGGAGAAGCTGGAGCAGTTGGCCCGACGCTTTGACAGAAAGGCCGCCATGAGAGAGACGTGGCTCAATGAAAACCAGCGCCTCGTGGCTCAGGTAGTGGGGGACACACTGGGGATGGCAGGAGGCAGAAGCTTTCCAGAGCCCCAGCAGTGAGCTGGGCTGGAGCCCCAGCTGGCCTCTCAGTGGCAGTGGGATAAGCCTCTCCACAGGCCTTGCGGCCCTGCTCCCCTGCTCCCCATGACTGGGTAAATCGGCATTCACGTTTGAGGAAGAACTCTCCGTGGACTCTGACCTCTAGGATCACGTCATATTTCACTAGCCAAAAATTGACCCCAGGGCTGATTCTCCATAAGAGCATCTGTTCCTTTCCATTTAGAGCTTGGACTCAAATGTCCAGGAAGGGAAAGCCAGCATTCTGAGAGGATTGGAGAGTGTGTGTGCATCCTAGATAGCATGGGAGTGAGCCATCTGTTTACAGCTGCATGGCTTCCAAGTGAGAAGCAGCCCCTTCCTGCCCAGAATCGGGCAGGTCCATTCAAGGCAGGGCAGTGAGTGCCAGCAGGCTGCGAAAGGGCTTGATCAGTCACTTAGACACGGCATACCCACGTGTATGGCACGGTGAATAAAATTATGAGCTTCTTTTAAAGGCTCTTGTAAGACAGTTAGTCTTTGGAACTTGGCTTTGATAAGATAGGCTGAGAAAAGCAGCAGAATGCACCCCTCGGACGGGCTTTCCCATCCAGCAGTTGTTCTGAAGGGACCCGCCATTTCTCTGTGCTTGGGGACTGGCCAAGGGGAGCCTGACTGAGCCACCTGCTTTCCTCTGCACGGGACAGGACAACTTTGGGTATGACCTGGCAGCCGTGGAGGCCGCCAAGAAGAAGCATGAAGCCATCGAGACCGACACAGCTGCTTACGAGGAGCGGGTGAGGGCCCTGGAGGACCTGGCCCAGGAGCTAGAGAAGGAGAATTACCATGACCAGAAGCGCATCACTGCCCGCAAGGACAACATCCTGCGCCTGTGGAACTATCTGCAGGAGCTGCTGAGGGCCCGGCGCCAGCGACTGGAGACAACCCTGGCCCTGCAGAAGCTCTTCCAGGACATGCTGCACAGCATTGACTGGATGGATGAGATCAAGGTGGGCCCCGGAGGCTGCCCATCCCCCACCGCCTCCCACCCCTCCCCACCAGCCCTACCTCAGCACTGGCCCTGCAGTTAGCTGTGCTTCCTTAGATGCTCCCAGCCGAACATGCCTCTGGCCCAAAATGGAGAAACTGAGGCAGTATGGTGTCTGGCTGCATCCACCTATCAACTGCTTGTCTCCCTCTGCTCCAGACAAGTCACCAACCCAGGTCCACTGTATTTCGGGTGATCAAAGCATCTTGGGTTTATGGTAGCACAGGTGCCAACCTACAGGACTAGAAGTGATAGACATGAATCAGGAGCTTGGAGAATCCGGCCCCAACTAATCCCAGTTTGAGTCTGGTTAGAATCCAGACTTCCCAGCATAGGAGCAACCAAGAAGTCTGACTCTCCTCTCCCTCCACTGCAGTGGGTCTCGCTGAGGATGCACATCAGACCAACCATGGAGCTTTCTAAAAATACACATGCCCAGGCCCCAAACCTTGAGACAGATGCAGGAGATCGAGTGTGGGGCTTGAGCTTCTGAAAAACGTTCCATGCATGATTCTGAAAGGCACTCCCACTAGGAAGTCCTCTATAGCTTCTATGCTGAGCAGCAAGCATCTTCCAGCTGCATCTGACTCCCAGGCCCCCATACCATGGATGCTTCCTTTGGAGGGGTCTCTTCTCCTAGCAGGTATGTGACTTCACCTCTCCTTTTCCCCTCTACCCGGTCTGTCCTCTTTGCCAGGCTCACCTCTTGTCTGCTGAGTTTGGGAAGCATTTGTTGGAGGTCGAGGACTTGCTACAGAAGCACAAGTTGATGGAAGCTGACATCGCCATCCAAGGGGACAAAGTGAAGGCCATCACTGCGGCCACCCTGCAGTTCACTGAGGGGAAAGGTGAGGCCACGGATGTCTCCCTGTTGAGATCTCTGAAGCCAGAGCCCTATGCTCTGGCCCAGCGTTCTAGCACCTCAACTTGGATAAATCCTCCAGCTTTAGAATTCTGCTTCTTTCATCAACTAAGGTGCAAAAGAGAAGCTTGAAGGAGAGCAAAATTCTCCAGACAGCAGGCAACTGCTTCAGTAATCTAGAATCAGAAGGTGTTCCTAAGCACCAATAAGGCATCATCTGCCTTCCATTCACTCTGCTAGTTCAAGATACAGCAGAGACCATTTAGAATTATAGCTTTGGGTCTTAAAGATCCTGATGCCTCCTTGAAGAATCATCTTGAAATCTGTGCCTGGGCCTTTTAAAAAAGAATTTCGTGTTACGCGTTTCTACCAAGAGCCGACCCACCTTATTCCTGAATTGTTAATGGGAACTAATTATAAAGAACTTGGCCTGTCCTCTGAGCAACTGGGAACTCTGTGTCCACTTCCAAAGCCCCAGTGAGATGGCAGGTTCTAGATTGTGTGGTTCTAGCCTGGCAACTGATCCAAGGCTTGCCCACAAACAAAACCCTTACCTCTTTTGCCTTCCCTTCTTTCATTCCTCCCAGGATACCAGCCTTGCGACCCCCAGGTTATCCAGGACCGTATCAGCCACCTGGAGCAGTGCTTTGAGGAGCTGAGCAACATGGCAGCTGGACGGAAGGCCCAGTTGGAGCAGTCCAAACGGCTCTGGAAGTTCTTCTGGGAGATGGACGAGGCCGAGAGCTGGATCAAGGAGAAGGAGCAGATCTACTCTTCCCTGGACTATGGCAAAGACCTGACGAGTGTGCTCATCCTTCAGCGCAAGCACAAGGCCTTTGAGGATGAGCTCCGAGGGCTGGACACCCACCTGGAGCAGATCTTCCAGGAGGCAGAGGGCATGGTCGCACGTAAGCAATTTGGGCACCCACAGATTGAGGCCCGAATCAAGGAGGTGTCTGCACAGTGGGACCAGCTGAAGGAGCTGGCTGCATTTCGCAAGAAGAACCTCCAGGATGCTGAGAACTTCTTCCAGTTCCAGGGTGATGCTGATGACCTAAAGGCCTGGCTGCAAGATGCCCACCGGCTGCTCTCAGGTGAAGACGTGGGACAGGATGAGGGGGCCACACGGGCCCTGGGGAAGAAGCATAAGGACTTCCTGGAGGAGCTGGAGGAGAGCCGCGGGGTGATGGAACATCTGGAGCAGCAGGCCCAGGACTTCCCCCAAGAGTTTCGGGATTCCCCAGATGTGACCAACCGGCTGCAGGCCCTTCGGGAGCTCTACCAGCAGGTGGTGGCCCAGGCAGACCTGCGTCGGCAGAGGCTGCAGGATGCCCTGGACCTGTATACGGTGTTTGGGGAGACAGATGCCTGTGAGCTGTGGATGGGTGAGAAGGAAAAGTGGCTGGCCCAGATGGAAATCCCAGACACACTGGAGGACCTGGAGGTCGCACAGCACAGGTCAGAGCCTGGCTTTCTCTCCCTCAGCTCCCCGCACTATGGCCCCGCACTGTAGGAACAACCTCTAGATCAGGAGAGCTCTCTCTGAGAGGGGACGGGATACCCTTAATTGCTCAGGCCATGCACCAGAGTCATGGGTTTTAATCAGGTTCTGTGGCTTTGGGTACTTTGCCCCCTGGGGCCTTCCTTAAAATAACACAGGGGATCTTTCTAGTCCAGTTATTCAATTACTTTTCGGCCACAGCAGTCTTTGTTCAAATGAATTGTATATAGAACCTCTGACATATAACACAGAGGAAAGTAGAACTGTTTGGTTAAGGGGGAGGTGAGAAGTCGGAGCCTCACCACCTCTAGCTCTCTATGGCAGTCACTAAGCCACAGAGCCCCAAATGGCCACAGGGACCAGTTTGCAAACTACTGGTCTGTAAGGCCACTCTCCTGTCCAGTATTCTGATTCTATCCACTCTCGGGCATGGGGGAGCATGCCCCCAGTCTGGACGGCACTCCAAGTGTCTTAAGTACAGAACTAGAGAGTTGAGGAGGAGAGATCACTCCCTAGAGTGTGCTGGGGTGGGCCCAGAGTGCTGGAGAGACCTGGTCTCTTATCCCAGAAGGGTCAGCTTGCATAACTACACCCTGCCCCCAGAGGCTCCCCCTTCTCCTACCTGGGGACAGAGCACCTGGCTGGGGAGGGTATCCTTCAGGTCAAGGTATCAAGGCCAGTGGAATTAGGGCCAAAGAGTAGCAGCTGTGGCAGTGGAGACATGGCAGGTGTTCTTTGAGGTGATCAACCCCACCCCCACCCCAACATACACACCTCTTCTTTCCCCTCTGCCTCTCCATTGGCCTATGTGGTAAGCAACCAGCTGTTTACTAGCCTGGTCCAAGAAACGCCAAACTATGAAATTGGACCCATGAATCAGAAAATAGAGTCTGTCAGCATTACTTTTTCCTTTCTGCCCCCTTACCCGGTCACATGTATTTAGGAGATGGAAGGAGAAAGTGAGAGTTCCAGGTTCCAGAGACAGGGCAGTAGGCCAAGTGCCCAGGCTGCCTCCCCAGTTCTCATCTTCTCTGTCCCTATCAGGTTTGACATCCTGGACCAGGAGATGAAGACGTTGATGATACAGATTGACGGCGTGAACCTTGCTGCCAACAGCCTGGTAGACAGCAGCCACCCTCGCAGTGGGGAAGTGAAGCAGTACCAGGACCACCTGAACAGCAGGTGGGGTGTGGGTAGGGCTGGGGGCTGAGGGCATCTTCCCTGGGCCACTGACACACCCTTGGGGTGTGGCCCCAAAGTCAGGATTCCTGCTAGGCACTGTAGGGTTTGTACCCTCAGAGCTCCTGTCTTTCTCAGTCACAGTCTCCTTCTGACCATGGACTGTAGCAACAAGGGGTAAACAGCGCTGCACTCACCACACAGGGTGGGGTGTATCCTGTGTGATGGAGGAAACGTTCTGAGCGCACTTGTAGTTAGAATCAGGCCATAAGGCACTCATGCCACATTTCCCCAGACATTCGAAGGCAGGAAAAATTGCTTTCTGAGAGCTCTTAAGTACTGTCCATAAAAGAGAGCTCCTGCCTGTGCCAAAATGCAGCATCGATAATGAGGCTGGCTTGAATGAGCAGGAGAATTAGCAGGAAGCCTTGAGCTCGCTTTGTGGCTGGAACAAAAAACAGCCCCTAAGGAACCTTTAGAGAGGGGGTGCTTTCTGTCCAAGGCATAATTGCCATGAGTTCCTCAAGGATCTCTGAGGATAGCACACGCCTGTGTTCCCTTTGTTACCTTGGGCCCTGCACACACAATACCACATGTTTACCACCTCCCTGTTGCCCTAGTTCCTTTCCCCACACTTATGTCGGGGCTTTGCTCTGCCTGAAGCAATCTGGGAGGTGGAGTTAGGTAAGACCC